GCGTATATTATCACTCTACAAACAGAGCAGATATTTCCTACAACATTACCATGATGCTTTGCGGTTATTTATTTCCTCGTGTTTTCATGATTTTTTCTTACGTCAGTATTTTACGAGCGTTGCATGAACACCAATCGCGCATGGCAGTGACCTCATCCATCTCGCCAGGACCGGTCGCAGGTGTTCCCGTTTCTTTGGAAACGAAACTGCGTTTGACAATGTCAATTTTGGTTCTGACATTTCTGGTTTGTCGTACTCCGTTTTTCGTCTTCTTGACAACCAAAGATTTAGACCATCCACCCGATTTTTGGGGGCAGTTGTCGTTTTGGGCTATTTACTTGCATAGCGCATGCGATCCTTTTATTTACGCATTCAAATACCCTGGATATCAAGATACATTGAAAGATATCGCAAGAAAGTTCAAAATAGCGATTACCAGTACTTTTCGCTTTTGCCTGTCCAAAGATGCTAATGAAGAAAAAAACGAAAGAAAAAGATAACATGGCAGTCAGGCCGTGGAAATCATTTGAGCACTCTACTTCTGGCTACAGTCCCTGATATATTTTTATTTGTACACGATTGTCTAAACGTCTGGTGGCAGAATGTTGGGACATTTCAGCCCCTACTTGTACGTTTGATACTTTCAAGAGAGGAGCAGGGATCTTAAGGGCGGTACAAGCGAGTCCAGCAACAAGAAACACCTTCGTTTATCATATAAAATTTATTAAAGCCAACTTTAAGATTTGTCCTTTGCCGTCGCAAAACGACACGACATGAAATATATTATTTATTTCCACTTTGCATGAAACCTTACATATTAAACATTTCAATCATTTTTTGAACGATCACAAAATGATAAACAGTTGAAAGATTCCAGATCCGTTTTCTTAATAAAATTAAACAAGTTCATTGGTCCTTGTTTCTTTTCGATATGCAGCAGAGGCTTTGTAGCCATCGAGAGAAGCGACCGGTTTTGCGAATCTGTCAAAGGCAAGTAAAAGAGAACATGTTAAGGTACATCTGAAAAAAACAATTAGTGGTAAAACATGGGAGGAGCTGTCCTATGAGCTAGAATGTTATTTTAATTAGAAGAGAAAATTCAACCGAGCGGTTAATCGCATGAGATATTTACAGATCTGGAACAACCATATTTGGGTCTAAAATATAAATGGTAGTATCCAGGCCATCCAACAAGGCCCTCGGATATATCAAACAACCGTGACCACAGGTCGGTGAAATTCAGCGATTTCGAGATCAGAACAGGTTTTCAACAACAAACCCCTTTGGAAATTTTCGCTCAAAGTCTTTGATGTTTAAAGGTATGGTCCACTAACTTTAAAGCTCACGTACTGATCACAAAAACTGAACGTTTGGACCTGGGAGCTAGTTTTTTATTGCATATTTGACCTTTCCCAGAGATAAAAAAAAAAAAAGAAAACCTATCTAAGAAGTTTTAAAAGACCAAAACCATACAGAATTAGTGATATTAACCTAAAGGCAGCGCATAAGCATGAGCAAACACCTACCTTCTTTCCCGGTTTTGTTTGAACTTTGCTGTGAAGAAATGACAAATCTTCAACATATTTACTTTCAGTTTCCACGCAACCATCATCAGCAGATGGCGGACTGAACTGGTTCGAGGCAGACTCATTGATTGTTGAACTTTTGTCGACAGAGTGACTATGTTCCACCGGAATGTTGACTTTTATGACGGTTACTTGTGATGCAACTGATGTTTCATCATTTTGTGAGCTTTCTTGGGAGCTTTTCCCTAACAGTTCTTTAGAATTTTCTGCCGAGTTTCTTTCCAAACTGTCGTTCAACGTGGTTTGCTCTGAGCTCTCATTAGAGCCTGGTGCGAACTGTTAAAGAAAGAAGAAAAATAGTCATTCAGGTGTCACCTTTTACAACAAAATTCAGCTAATATTTTTAACCATTTAAAACGAGTACCAATAACTTAACAGTTAGTCAGTACAGGCGGAAAATTCTCTTTGTGACCGTTTTGTTAAGTTTCGACCAATCTTCCTTCAATGAGTTATCTTAGAAATGTGAACACGAGGAGCATCAGTTGGTCATCTTTGTTTTATTAGCAGGAGTCTACTGTCGCGCAAGCGATGGTCTTGAACGGGAAATAATACGATTTTTGATCGGACTACTTACCCTTTCTTGAGAGAAACAGCCACCATATGTGTCTGCAGCTCGCTCTTTTCTGCTTTCCTCGACACAGGATCTTATACCACAATGAGGAAGAACTTTATCAATTTCCTCTTCCAGCTTCCAGAAGGGAAATATAACCATTTTACCAAGTTCATACTGGAATTTAATCGTTAGATTATCAACGTCAATGTCAGCATCAATGACGTCGTCACGGAGACGCGCAATTTCCAAAAGAGATCTGTCTTTCTCCTCTCGCAGAGTTGCCACCAACTCAGCATCAACTTTAACCTTTGAAATGTCGCTTTTCTTTCTTTCGATAGTCTCCAACAATTTTCTTTTCTCCTCGTCGAGCTGCTTGGAAAATCTTTCACATGTTTCATCGACGGACCGGCATTCATTGTAGAGTTTAGCAGTGCTTTCCTTTACTGTTTTCAATTCTTTCTGTATTTCTGAAATACGCTGCATAAGTAAACTGTTTCGCTTCTTTTGCTCTTCCATCTCCTCGGCCAGGAACTCATTATCTTGACGTGCATTGTTGTATTTGGTGACAATGACGCTTTTTCCCTGTTTTGAACAAAAATGCAAAGTTCTACAAGCTTGAATTGTCAAGACAAAACTTCTTCATTAAAATGTCTAGAAAACTAATGGGATACTTTACGTTGGCCTTGTATTCATGTGAGCCGATATCATATCTTATGTAGACTAGTTTCGTACATAGAACTCACAGTTAATACAATGAGATATTCTTTCAACCATTGAGTCGATTATGCTGTGGGTTGATCCATCGATCTTGTACACTTCGGAATAGAGGATGCGGAGAGCGTGTTTGTTAGCTGCTGAAACGAGCGCACTCGAAATTCAGCCCTAGTTTTAGAACATTTTCTTTCCAAAACCTTGAAAACTTGTGCGCTAATTTTTCGTTTAGAAGGATTCGGATCACGATGTCAAACTGACGAACTGATTGTGAGAATCACTATGGAGCTTTAAAACGAAAATAACTTTGACTTACGGCGTTTGGAAGCAGCTGTTGTGGATGAGGTGTATAGGGCATCTGCCCGTGGATTGGGCCCATGTAAGACGCATGTGCGAATGTATTATTCATCGCTTGTGTCGGATTACCCCAAGCGTAGTATTGGATTTGAGGCTGAGGGACCAGCAGATTTCTGTTTGGGGTTTGTTGGAAATTTTGTTGAAGAATGAAACCCGATGGCAGCTTTCCACCGCCATACGAGAGATATGAATCTGTGGAGTTTTCTTGCAGGAACTTTGAAGGCTCGCTGGTATTTAATGAGCTACACCACATGTCTGAGTGAAATACAGGGGATAGAAATATAAATAATAATCATGTCTCTCCAAATCAGCCTTTTATCGCTAAATTAACAAACTTTCGGTTTAAAATCCAGGAGATGAGGTAAGTTTTAATCGCCATTGGGATTTGCTTGTTTCTTAAGCGACATATTTAACTATGAATCAATCACAAAAAGACTTCACCAGAAAAGTTTTTCCTTAGGCATTAGAGCGAACATTACGGGTAATGTCATAATCAGAGCATGAAATTTTGCTTACTGATATAATGCAATTCTCTAAACAATAGTTCACCACCCTTTTTTTGCACTAAATTGGAGTAATCTTTTTGTTTCAGTTGGGCGCAGGAGGCTTCATCGTTCGCCGGAAATAGCATTTTAATTAAATCACCGAGGACTGCCCCTGTTTCACCAATCAAACAAGTTGTCAACTTTCTAATTTGTTTGTAGAATTTTTCATTATGGAAAGGAAATTGTTCTAATGGAGTGTAAATTGCTTTCGCTTTTCCAACTATCTCAGAACGATGATCGGGACTGGTCTTGCTTATCCGCAAACAACAACAGAAAACGCAGCGAAAAGTTTCTACTTACTTGATCTGTTTAGACTTCGCTCTGTGCGCTCAATCTGAAATTTCGCCGTAAACAAAGTCGTTGTTTCTTTTCACAAACTTTCAAATTCACAACAGTAATACTGTATCTTTCTTGGCCCTGGACCGAATTTGAAAATAAGAAGTGTTTTTAAAGCTTAATTCGCTTCACTCACTGATCACCTTGCGGTACGGAATCCAGATAAGATCATCTGTTTACTTGCTGATTTGCTGATATTTTTCATCGTCATGGCAGTGCACGTTTATTTCGTCACAGCGCGTGCACCTAAAGCGGTTAGATTGAAGCACGCGCTGGTTGAACTTGGGGTATCTTCAATGATACTAATGTTTATACGCTCCGGTACTCTCGGAGAAAATCTCACACGAAAACAGGTCTACGATCAGAGGGAAGAAAAAAGAACGGTAGGTACAACTTGTATAACAAAGAAACATTGTGACTGTTTTCTAGCCACTGTCAAAGTTATTGAAACCAAGTCTTGAAATGGATGAATTATCTTTAGGCCATCTTTTCAAGTGAGTGATTCATTCCCTTCAAATGCACTGTTCTCTTCACAGTCAAAAACATCCCACAACAGATTTTTAAGACTGTTATCTCCTGTTTTCACCGCAAGCCTCATGATGAGTGGTCTAAAAACCATAATTTACTCGGCTACCTTCCTCTTGGTGAATGATAAGCAAATTTTAGATAAGCCGATTAAATGTAATGAAACTTAAATTGTTCCGTGTGTGAAGGTGTCTATTCCAAGCTTAGATATGTACCCTTAAATGATTCCAAAAATCATGATCTTTAAAATGATAGTACACCTACTGTTTGAAAGTTTATCCGGCGTATTGTTTGACCTAACCCTTTTAAACCCAAGAAATGCTTGCAGATTTCCTTACTGACGAGTCAGCTCAAACGTTTTGTTCACAGACGCTTTTAATCTACAAATTTCAACAACATTTCTATCAACTTTTAACAACACAGCGACTAATTGAGAGCGATTTTTTACAGCTTTTTCGCATTGATTCATGATACGAAAAGCAGGAACGTACTTTAACATCTGCTTTCCCATCTAATACAATGGAAGACCAATACCAAATGAAAGTTCACTATCGCGCAGAAACATGATTTTTAAGGCTAAGCAAAAGTTATTCGGTACTAAATCAAATACAACTACTTTGAGTGCTTTTCCTTTGACTGTCTTTAAACTAACGCTGTAGAAATTTCATCTGCCAATTGGGGCTAAGGCTAGCTTTAGGAGTTTAATTCGATTTTAGCTTTGCACTGTAACCGGCTGTTTCGCCTTCGTTCTGCTAACGACTAGTTCGCTGACGTCTCAGGTCGTTTCGCTAACTTAGCGAACGTCCCCTAGGTTGTTTCGCTAACTTAATAAAAAACGTTTAGTGATTCCAGAATTTGAGCTTGATCGACTTCTAATCGACCGAAGAAACCGAGGGGAGTTAGCTTGTCTCAGTACAAACTGAAAGTCGGTTCGATACGAGTCGAATCAAGGCAAACATAAGTCGATTCAATACACCGATAAAGTGTTCTTGAGAGGACCTTAACAGGTCGACCCCAGTCCATTTTGGCTGATCTTACTCGTATGTTTGCGATACAACAGTTCATTTGTCGCTGGTTAGAAGAAAGTAAAACTAGACAGACGAGAGAAACTTCCTGAAACGTTAGCGAAACGACCTATGCCACGTTAGCAAAATAAACTGTGAGGTTGGCGAAACGACCTAAGACGTTAGCCTACTGGTCGCTAGCGAAACGACTCGTAGGCAAAACGACCACAATTCCTTTTTGATATGATGGTCGAGAAGACGATAGCTAAAACAAAAACCAATTAGATGCAATCCTTTTCACCCTTAAAGTAATGAAATAAAACCTCATGCGAGTCGAGGGCATGAACAGAGCTGCAGCTAGCTTCTAAATAATCATAGTTTTTCCTTCTATTATCTCGCCCAGTATTTTCTCCTCCCAATCTTGTTTCTTCTTATGTTTGTCAAAGTCCAACATTTTCTTATTTCTCAGAGCGGCCGGTAGTTGCTTTTTCTTCAAGCTGTTGATCATCACAAGAATTAGTGACGAGTCTCCCGAGTCTATCCCCCTCTGGACAGCCATGTGCAGCTCCTCCCGGCAGAAATTACTGGCGAGGTAATTCTGGGATAAAACGATCAAAACCTGACGGCTGCCATACACATTATCCGCCATGTTTTGGACGATTGGCCTCCCAAGCTCAAAGTCCCGGCTGTGAATGCTGTAAGCTATGGAGTGCTTCTCAAAAATTGAAATGAGGTTCTCATTGACCCAGGCCAAGTCTTTTGAGCTGAAGCTGATAAACAGTCGATTTATGAGGTCTCCTTCTTTGATGCCTTCTACTAAGAATTTGAAAAATAGATATCCAATCGGTATTTATTTGATACAACATCCAGAAACATGTGTTAAGGGTGAGTGATGTATGTGCAGTGAAACCTGAAGAGGCCATTTCTGAAATGCCCTAAGCCTCTGTCTTAAATCAAGGCCAAGGTCGAATCATCTGACATTGAAATTAATTTTCTTATGATTAACTACACAAAAACTCATTTTTACAGGATACTCATAACATATTTTTAGAGGGTCTTGTTGTGGCTAAGTGATAAACGTAACGGGAAAATATTAATCGTAAGACGTAAAGTTGTCAACATTTTAACCGTTAGCCGTAAAAGCCATCACTCCATTGACACCTTTTTATTCAGAGCAATCTCGATAGTGTCGTCTTGAAACAGGTTAAGTAAATTTCATGAATAGAAAGGATCGCAGGGACATCAGTAGTTAGAGTACGATAGCACATTGACCAGAAAGCAGGCTTTCGAATGAAGCCGTGGTCCACAGAAATACACTTCAATTGCTAAGATAAACGGCGTTTTAAACGTGAAAAAAGGTAACCTTCATCTCTAGACAGATAAAAATGAATCTAAAAAACTTCACTGTTATTGTTACTGTCAAGGTTGTTGTTGATTTTAACTTACGTCTTTGTATCTTATAAGAAGATGTCCTTTTTTTCTTGAAACCAAACCGCAGGACTGACATGAAAATGACGGCTACACTAACTGCTGATAGAATGATGATTGGCAGCAGCCATTTTTGTCGACCTCCTTTGGTTAAGAGAGTAAAAAAATTCAAATTGAAGTGCATGAATTCGTAGTCACCTCAATAATGTTGAGCTTGTAAAGGCCCTGTTAAACCCTGGTTGATACTTACCCTCGTGAGAAGGAGAAGCTAAAATTATGTTTGACTGAGTTGCGGTATCTGAAAAAGAAAGCCAGAAAAAGGCTTATCATCTTTACCTAGACATGTACAGTTGTAATAAAGATACTCAGTTATCCGATCTACGCAGTCGCCTCCAAATTTAATGTATGCAATGTTTATTGAAAATACTACTTCGGCCATTTTTAGATTCCACAGAATAACCAGCCCGTACAAAAGGCGTCTGTAAGGGTGCTAAAAACTCAACCGGGCATGGAGGCCGCAATTTTGAAAAAAACTTTAGCAACCTGGCTAAAAAACTTTAGCAACCTGGCCTCCAGCCCGATAACAAAGCATGGCTCTCAAACAGCTGTGCATTGATTGACGCAAAAGAGTCAGTCTTTGAGTTAGAAATGATTTTTTTGCTTATTTTTTCACTCAGCTCCCAAAAGTTTGAACCTGACATCGCTAAGAGATGGATGAAGATGGAAGACACTCAGTAAGTCACTGATTAACTGCTAGATTGCTCCGCAAGATTCAAAAAGGCGGTGTATGTTGTCGAGCAAGTAAAATGCAATAGAAGTTTCTTTCCTTTTTTTTCGGTAATTCCTTTGATAAAATTAAGAAATTGTCATAGTGTTTTATTCGGAACAACATGACTAGTTTTTCACTCGCTTCTATCGTACGAATTTTACCTTAGTGCGTCTATCCAAAACTACCTAACGCAGTTTTGCTTTTTCACTATTATGAATGGCTTACCCTTTGCAACCCTTCTGAGAGACTGACGGTTTTTTTTTAATCAAATGTCCACATTAAATTACTCATAACCCAAAAGTAAGGTATTAACAAACTGGTTACAAACACTGGTGTGGAAGTCCCCTACCCCTCCCTTGTGGAAAATTCTGTCGACACCATTGATCGTGAGGATTATGCAACAAGTTTATGTTCAGTCGAAAGTTTTCAAGCCCGCGTTTAACCCCTATTTGAAATTTCCAATTGAACTTAACGGAGATCAATGGATTATTACCTATTGTAGGAAAATCAGCAGATACTTTCAAGTCAATTACAGCTGTCTTGATGTCTTCATCGCATTCCCAATGACAAGTGTATCTCCCTTCATCGTCCTTCGTGACGTTGAAAATAAAAAGGACGTACTCATTCTTGCACCTAGTATGCGTTTCTCTTTCTTCTGAACTGTACTTTTTGGCATTTTCCAAATACGCCGTGTTATTTCCTTTGAGCCATAGTACCTCATGAGGACAATTGCCATCAAAACCAGACCGACATGTCAGGTTGATATTAGAAAAAGCGCTGGCAAGAATCTTATCGGAAGATACGATTGGACCTTGTGCCGAGGGACCTGTTACAAAAGAAAACCAGTTCTATAAATGAGTAGTCATATCGTCAAGACTCAGACAGAGATTTTCCCGCACATTCTAAGAGTAATGTAGGCAGATATACCAACAGACAGAGAGTCACATAATGATAATGACATATAGACAGTCAGTCAGAGATATAGACAGACACAAACACACGCATACCGTGATGCAGACAATAAGACAGAGATACACATAAACAAATTGTTAGACAGTGATACAGACAAATGAATAAGGGAATTATGTTTCTAAAGAAACTGAGGTGCTGCGTTGGTGGGGGTAATACAAAACAATTTGGTCTTATCACTGAGTTGATGATAGAAATTGGCCAACTTTAAGAATTTCTCAAGCTAAAGTTTCGAGTGTTAACCCTTCGTCAGAGTGAACAAAAGACGAAGACCTAATACTCGAAACGTCAGCCCTACGAACTCTTTACGGTGGAAAATTTACTTTATCAACTCAGTTGATAAAAATGAATTATCATATAGACAAACAGTCAGATAGGCTGTCAGTCAGTGATACAGACAGAAACATAAACATGCAGACCGTAATGCAGACATGCAATATGATAATAATGATAATGATATATACAGAGGGACCTCAACTCGCTGAGGCGGTTTTCAGTGAGGCCCACCTCAAACCACAATCAGACAGAGATACGTGTACAAAAACAGTTAGACAGTGATACAGACGGACAGATATATAGAAAGACAGACAGACAGAATAAAATGAAAATATATAACCAGTGGTAAGAAATGGACAATCTATTCTAGGACCGGCCCTCTTAGAGGGGCGTTAAACAAAGAACTAGACATGGATGATGCTTTCTTCCACGTTGCCGTGATCCAGTTTTTGAATCATTTCCCCCTTCCCCGCTAATGTGCGTAGGTGTCGAACAGTAGAGCAATCTTTTGTTTCTTTTTAAAATTATGGTTTCGTTCTGATGCACTTGGCACGGAGTACGCATAACAAACTGAAAAATGTAGGCGCCATGATTTTTTTGATCGTTTTTTTCTTACACAATAAAAGCATCTCTATCGCGTAAGCCGCCCAACTCGACCATCCAGGGATACTGTTGGTGGCATTGCACTTGTAAAGCCCTTCTTGATCTTCTTGGCCACTCGGAAAGTAGAGAGTGCTCCGGAGATTATTTCCCTCTTTCTCCACTGAGTGATAAATACCGTCCGTTCCGTTAGTGATCAGTTTCTCTTCCTTGAACCAATGCACAATAGTGGGAAGAGGCCAACCGGAGAAAACGCATTCTATACTGGTTTCTTTGCCTTGGACAATATCATTTGGCGAACTTGAACCATCGTAAATTTTAAGGGCATCTGAAAGAAAGCAGTAGTCATTTTCCAGAGCTCATATGAATTTGAATTGATTGTTTGAAGACGGAACTGAGATACTGGTCAATTGCGTAGTATGATCGTCTGATTAAGTGACTAACTTCTCCGCAAACTGAACGGAAGTCATGATCAATCCAGGTTACCGATCAAAGTCACTCATATTTCAGGACCAACTTAACCCGGCCGATGAGACTATATCACATACCAAGTTGGTATGTTGTGAATGGCTCGATGTACCACAATCTACACTTCTTTTTTGTCTCAAAAAGAGTAACAAATTTTGTCACAAGTGATTTAAACAAGAACTAGGCGGGAAAGATCGAACAAACTTTCCTAGAACTCCCCCTCCCCCACCCCCTGCCTCTTTCTCGTTTCCCTTATCCAGGGCCCAAGTTGTGTTTCCCTCCTAATACGGGAAAGACTGGCAGATTTGATCAATCAAAGACTTACGTGTGAAAAGTATCGCGGTACATACACATGAATAGTTTTTATTATTTATCGAACTCCAGTGATAGAGATACAACTCTGAGGAATTGGTGCGGTTTGCCAAACGCTTCCACGTCATGCCTAGTTCCAGTCTTTCTGTGATTGAACAGTTGAGGGTTACATTGGAGTCTGGATCTACCGTCATCGGTTCCGTAGATTCGCATCCTCCAGAACAGGAGGACTTAATTTCGCATTTCATGTCAGCTGCGGATGACCCATCTGCTAGAAGAAAACTCGTATAATCAGGTCTACTGGGTCGGTTGGGCAAAAATATAGCAAATTCGACGTTATCTTAATCAGTAACTCACTGCGATCAGCGGTAAAACAACAATTCTGGCGTACAATTCATCTATGGTCTACAAAGAGCGATTTGAATATCTCATTATAATGTAGATTATTACAAGGTCCTTTACAAATTTTCGGAATGAAACACACTTCATCGAGAGGAACACAAATGCAACCATAATTACGATGATACTAATGATTGACAGTATCAATTTTCATTCATGTCCTAAATGATCCTACTTGTTTCGAACTATTGTCCACGCAGGAATAGATGAATTAGGAACCAATTGTGTATTTGGTACTACAATGTTCATGTTTCCAAACTGATGTCGTGTCAAGATTTTTCGTTCAGATTAAATCAGAGTGAATCGTTACCTATTTATAATCTGCTACGTTTCTGTAAAATTGGAACCGCTCATCAGACAGGTTTTTTTTTCAGCAGGTTTTTGTTAGACTCTGTTAAATCGATTAGTTGATCCGCTTTCTATTTTAAACGAGGTACCTGCGAGTTTTATGTTAATGATCTTTTCCCCCAGGGTCTCATATAAAAAAAAAACAGGAAAAAAACACGAAGTTCTGTTCTTGTCCGTCACTGACAGTGTTGATCTAAACTGTCTCCGACACAGATTTTTTCGCTTATCTCTTTAATCAATATGTCTTGACGGAACTTGTTTTCCTCGGGTGTTTAGTATAAACATTATACTTTGTTATAAAAAAGAAAAATTAATTATCAGCAAAAAAAACAACATGTTAGCGACCGTCATATGAAACGTCTTTTTGTGTACATTTGTACTGGGATAATAAACTTTAGTGGTACATGTTTTAATCAATGAAAAATCTTTAGCTGAGACCAGCTTAGCTGTATAAAAAAAAGGACCTGAATCGGAAAAAGATTCGGAAAATCAACCATGGTTATATTTTCGATTAATAGCAGAAATGTTAATTGCATAATCATTTTTTGGAGCCGCTTATGTTTAAAGTCGCATGTGCGTCATTTTGCTTTCAGTGAGTTTACACTCTCCATAAAATTAAGCCTCTTGTATTCGTTTTGTCGTTGATAAGCCCAGCTAGAGTTGCAATAAGCTGTATTCTAACACCATTCCGCTTCCAGCTTGAATTATCAATATTTTTGGTTTTGAACACGAACCGAAACTAGGGCAATATAAGGGCTTTTAAAAATGTTTTGTTACAACCTGAAAATCTGCCAAATTAAAGTTTCTTTTCTTGGCAAGTGAATAAGAAATAGCGGGTGCAAAAACTGAAAGATTTTCTTTTAAAAATCAAGCGCGAAAAGAAAAAAAAAAGAAATTGAGGTGACGAAACTCGTCCTAAAACTACGTCAATTCTGAAGTTGAAGATTGACATCACTTGTCACATCTAGTATTTCACATGCAAAACAAATCCTTTGAGAACCTTTGTTGGGGCGTGAATAACGAAAATAAAAGGAATAAATGCATCTGTAGCTGGAAAAATCGGCGTAGGTTTTTAGCTTGCCGAGCTTGTTGTGTGAAAAGAGACCAAAAATTCAAACGGACCAAAAAGGGAATTGTTGATATCCTAAATGCATCCACCGGTGAAATTTTTTGAGAGGATTGAAAGTTAAAATTTCACTCCTTTAAATTTACAAAAGTTATCCTCATTGAAAGGTAGATGCAAAGAAAGGCCACGGGGAACAAAAACCTGTTGTGTTTGGCTCTATGCAGCGCACTATACTTTGATATCATGCGGGCTTAATGCGTAGGAACCAAATGGGAATTCGTGACTTGTGTAGCGCCGAGAGCCCTGTTTGAAATTCGTGCGAGATAGTAATTTTAGCTACATGCCTCTTTTTCATTATAAACCTTCGCTTTGCAAGTTTATCATCAAAACTATTAAATGTTGTGTAAGAGTTGTAGCACGCTCTTTTGGGTTTTTTTTGCGCTAAATCACCTTCTACCAAAACATAAATAGAAGTAGTTTTAAACGACAGTGATTTGATACAGATTCTGTACGCTCACTTCTCTAGCTACCTTATTCTAAATCATTGACTGGAAGAAGAAATCTCCGACTTCGAGAACTTTGAAAAAACAACGCGACTTCGATACCGAAATGAAATGCATCATAGACAGGATTTAGAGACCCTGAGACCCTTTTCAAAGGCTAACGAGATTTAGAAGTCGAATTGAAAGTCTACGAAACAAAAATTTCTCAAGCTATCTTTGATCTTTGCCATCTTAGACAACTGGAAAACAGCTTGTCATGCAATGGTTACGGTATAAGGGTTAACTCATGAAAAGAAAAACAAAAGAAAAACAAAAAAAAAACATTTGACTTTACCTTGCATTATGAGAAGAAACAAAGAACATGTCAAAAAGTATTTCATCACAAGAGTTCTGAAGTTTTTCGACCGTTGCTGATAATCCATCACAAGATCACCACCGAGGTAAATGGCCGGAGGCGCACTATTATTCCGTGTGGTTTATTCGTCAACAGTATCCTCTTGAAATTTACGTTTTATGGTATTCCCACGCTATTCATATCTTGAGGAATATTAGCCCTACCTCATTAAGTTCCTTGTTGCTAACAAAAAGCAATTGATGCTTTTTATTTTTTACGGATAAACTCCTTTAACTCAACAGTGAACTAAGAAAGGTGTTGTAATTTATTTATTAATGAAATTGGATCAAACTATTCTGGAAAATGTTACGTTCACTTTTGAGAAACCATCGCGTTAATATGCCAACCACTTAAACTAAATGTTTTATCAGTATCGCCTTGGTCAAATGATTTATCCTAAAATCAAGACGATGTCCAACCAAAATGCATGCGGAAGATTTAGTCATAGCTGTATTTAATCATAGAGTTTGTCTGTTCCTTGAATTTTCCATTTTTACTTATTTTGTAATCAACTGTATTTTTTCAGCTTCAAAAAATACGGGTATTGAAGACTTCTTTAATGACAGGTTGACAGGTGTTTCTTTCTTCTGAGGTTTCCGACATTTATGTTGGACAAACCGTATTTTGAAAAGCCAATTTCTCTGTCATTGGTTTCAATTTTCTTCTGAAGAATTGCCATTTCTTTGGAAGAAAATAGAAGAAAGTGGAAAACTGAGCAATAGGTCGAGCAACATTTATTAGAAAATTCAGTTTTCTCCCCAAGTTTTTGCAGCCCATCTTTCCTTTTTGTGCGATATGTATGTACATCTGTTCCCCAACACTAAAATTTTAAATTCATTGCTGGTAAAAGTAGTACTAAACAGCATGACAGCTTTATCTTACGATGACTGACAACACTTTGAGAAGCTGGTTTATGTGTCTCTCTCTAATGGTGAAAACGTTCAATTTGTTTTCAGAGAGAATTATATTTACCCTCTGCGGGTATCTATTGATGATGAAGTAGGTGGCAAAGAGCCTTAAGTAGCCAGACAACAAGAGTAGGAACAGGATTCAATGTCAGACGTCTCTTAATTTTCAGATGTCCACAGTTAATTTATGCATGTTGAATAAACAAATTAATCAATTCTGTTTCATTGTGCCCGCTGCGAAATGTAGAATGACCCCGCTGACACCAACCTAGAGCGAAGGGTAACAGTAAATTGTTGGGGAAACATGAAAGTTTGGGCCTGCCTGAGTATAGATTTATCAAGAAAATGGCTCGACGTTGGAACTGCTAGTTCGAGAATGCTTTTCAGTTTCTTTTTGCTTGTTTTTCATGGGGAATTTTTTTTTCTTTTTTTTAGAGACACTAATACAAATACGGTTGACAAATAGACATGCAATTTCTTAATGAGGTCTCTTAACTAAAATATATAATTTCCGCTTAGCGGGTACCAGATAATCTTAAGTCATAACACTCCTGCCGATCGCATGATGGCCTTCTTTTGAAACACAACAAATACTAAGTACTATTTTAAAATTTTATGCAGAATGGGACACCGAAAGGTGAAAAACATATGATTTTAAAGTGATCTGTTGCAAGACATGATTGAAGCAGGTGGGAAATGGAAATATTTCGTGACCACGATGAACAAATTTGCTTCTCTTAGCTTCCCTTAACTTAGTGATAACCAGAAAAATTTAGTTAATTAAAGAGCCGCATGGTGACTTGCCAATTAACTTTTGGTTGTCATTTTGTCAAAGTGAAAACAATTCGTAGTTTTTTTCGTATTTTTTTTTTCGGGTTGAAGGCGAATCACTTAGAAAAATAAAGGTAGCGATCAATACATACTTTATAATTCGTACTTCTTGGATTAGCGTTTGAATATGACACAGTAACAGTGACATGTACTAAAAGATGCACTAAATCAAACAGACTTGCCTTTTAAAAAAGTTCCCGGGAAGGATTTTAGTGACTAAAGGGGAAAACTTAAATTTATGCATAATGTCGTCTTGTTTAACTTTCAGAACGTAACATGGCAACAAATCACTACCATAGCAGGGTGAAAAGCAAACCGTGACCACACCACGAGAAGCATGGATAACCCAAGCCTAGCAGCGAGTTGGAATTGAAAACTCCCGGCCGACCGAGCCTGCTACGATTAGACCAGTTTTCTTTTCCTTTTGAGTTGTTTACTGCCACCAAAATTCAAACTCATGAAAATATTATTCAATGCCCCATACAATAAACAATTTCCCATAGCCCGCTTTAGCGGTTAAAGGTTAAAGTACACGAGAAAAGCCGGAGCATCTTACCTTTTTTAAACATGAGAAACAACATGATGAAAATCTGAAACTCGACATAGCTGGAGAAAAACATTGCACTGTTTCACGAATCTATGCCAGCTGCTGAGAAAGAAGATTTCCTCTCACTTAAACACGTTCCTTTTTCAGTGTTTACTTCCAAACGATTCTTTAGAGTGATTTAAAAGAGGTTTTACATAAAAAAATTTACGCAATAGCTGCATGGACAAAGTTACCGTGAAGGTGCATTCGGAGGCGTTTGGATCACATTCAAAACTCACGTTACACTGTCATATGTAAAATAGCAAAACAAGATGCTGAAGCGGAGTCGGAAACGCACCAGAAAAATTAATCAGCTTCTCGCATTAAAAATTAATTATATTATTGGCCTTTGTATACGTGGGCGGTTTGATCAAGGCCTAAGTAAATAAATTCATAATGCGTATATCTTATGATCGACATAAGTTTTCGTTAGGTTGTATTACATGCAAAACAACAAATTGCAATCGTCGATAGAGACGTTAATTTTTAAGAGAATCTCTTTTTTTAACCACAGTGTAAGTTAGGTATTGTGTGGTCATGGTTTGCTTTTCACCCCGCTATGGTAGCAATTTGTTGCAATGTTACGTTCTGAAAGTTAAACAAGACGACATTATGCATAAATCTGGAAACTAAGAATTATTGTCATTATCAAAATAACCAGTGGTTGGAAAGAATGCTTCCCAACTTTGGAAGCAGGCATCGGGTAAAACAAGGTTTCATCATTTTTTATTGTGTGCATACAAGCAAGCAAGCGCCTGAAGTTGCCAAAATCGACAGTAATTGGTGTCAATTTGTTTCAACACCATATTTTGTTGCATTTGAAAAGTGGTCTTTTCTATTTGACTGTACATAAATTGACAAAAGCTAGTAGAAAATTTTTTAACTTTTAATATACAGTCATAGTCAATTTTCGTCGATCATCTCATCCCTTAACAGCTAGGCTCCGCTGTAAAAGCTAATAATTTTCTCCAGATGATTTGATCGCAGACAGTTGGGTCTTTTTTGGGTCCCTCACCCATTAACTATTGCCGCGCTAAAAACTAGGTTCAAAAAATTCATTGCTTTAAAAAAAAAAACGTACGAAAACGCGCACTATTTCCTAAATGTTATCATGTGACTGCTGCAAGGAAAGGTCTAGAATAACATAGTCCTTAACATTTCAGTTAACGACTGGTTTTATACAGGTTCTTGTTGACGCAGTTCTCTTAGGACTGGCGTAACCCATCGTCAAGAACTCTAAAGCTGAAATATTTCCACCAACAGGAGTTGATCAGTAACGAAACTCGATCCTAAATAACTATGGTGACTGAAATTCCTACATAAACTTATCCACAAGCAAGGAACACCAACTGATGTGTTCCTAAAACTAAATGTTACATCGGAAATCAGCCTTCATGCAGCGGATATCCAACGTGCAGAAACGAGTCGCTTCGGTCACGAATGACGATAAATTGATGCCATTTCGTGCTTAACCCAAAGGATCATTTTGCCTCCGGAAAGGCGTGGATTGAATCCACGCCGTTTAGGAGACAAATAAAGTTTGAACTTGGGCCAACTCAAATAATTTAAAATCGACAAAACTGATTTAAAGGCCGAAATTAATTCCGACTAAACGTAATATAATGGGAGAAATAATTGAAGTGTGTATCGTCGGTTCGCCTTTTGTGACCTTTTGGCCGATAAATCAGTGGTTAACTTGACGGCGTGAACAAAGACGATCCAAAATCAGTCAGAACTTTGAAACTGATTCAGACCCTCGTACTCGACTTCAAATGAAAGTCATTAAATTCTATTCGGCTCATAGGAGTTACGGCGTCTGAGTACTTTTGTAGATGTCACTGATAAAAATGAAAGAAGTAACCCTATAAAATGGCTCTTGTCTGCTAGAGATCAAACCACGCTGGAGAATAAAACGATCTCCTGCTCACAGTTGTTCAACTATACTACATTAAGAAATACCCGCTTGAATCAAGATTAGCAAATAAATGATTCGCTCTCCACTGTGATGATTGACCCTATTTCAAAAATTAGCTGTGCGTTGAACGCTAAAACTGTAAAGAATTTAGTATTATGGTGTCCACAGTTCGTCCTGCTGTCAAACTCAACTGACTTCGAAAAACACTTTCAACACTCTTTGTCACAGAACCAGAAAGCATCAATGAAAGCCCCATATACACCCACCCACACCCTCTTCAAGAAATCACCCACACCCACATTGATTGGATTCATAGCAAAATGATCAGGTTTTAAGCGATAAAGGGAGCTATCGGCACTACTTTGATATGTATTCCCCAGAAAGCCATAAATATTGATCATCCAAGATAAGTCACGTTCATTTAAAAACAAATTGGGGAGTCTGCTGGATAAAAGCAAATAAAAAGCAATTGAGTGTTTACACGGTGAGGGAATACTCTAAAATCCTGCCATATGTTTCCTGTTTTTGATTTGTACGCGAAGGATTCTGTCATTCGCCCATTGGCTGACATGCATTTGTATTTAGGAGCTAAGGATCTTTTGCTAAGATCTTTCGCCAAGATATCCTTTCCCCGCCGAAAAAAATACCCTAAAAGCGATAACACGTAAACGACACATAAACTTTCGACCTCATCGCCTGAAAACCACTCTTTCGGTGCTCAAAAAAAAAAAAAAAAAGAAAAAGAAAAAACAAAACAAAAAAATAAAAGATATTCAGTGTGTCCTTTCACTTACATTATCTCTTCGCTTTTCATTAAATTCTGTTAATTATGCTGCGAATCACAACTTTCTTAGGAGAATGAGAATTTTCTGTCAAGAAAGCTGAGGAAAATTACACGCAAATTCTCATTCCCCTATAACTACAAAATCTATTTGTTCCTTACCATGTAGATGTGCAGATAAGGAATATGCGATAGAAGACACTAAGATAATCAGCCCAAACATTTTTCGTAACACTCCTACACCTTTCATCCCACCATAATGGTCAATTTTGCGCAGACACTCAATTTTGCCAGCCGTTTCCATTGTTTCAACGATTCGTACCAGAGCTAGAGTTCCTTTCATAATAACAATCTGTGAAAGCTAGTTGACATGTATCAATCAGCTCTTGCTCTTTAATATTCTTGCTTTTAAAACGGTCCATAGACATTAACCAACTTTAATTACATGTTTTCATTTTCAAAAAATGCTTCACTGTACAGTTTTAACGATAGCATAACGAAAAGTATTAAGATAGACTCGTAAATTCGCTTAATATAAATAGATAGTGGGAGAACATTTGGGATAATAATCGTAAATTGCGAGTCCTTCTTAGTGACTTCAGGGAGCGCGTTACGAAGGAATCGATCAGTAAGACAAAGAACCGAGTCTTTCAGCGGTTGGCTCTCACAAGAGTTTCTTTGTTAGAATTTCGTAGACCATTCGACGCCTGAAGTAAGGCATGTGTCTCTAGAAAAGAGCAAAATACATGTAAGCAAAAATACTTCCTGTAGTTTCACACATCTTCCTTAGTTGATTCGTACGATTGGGGATGAAATGGCTCGAAAGTAACGGAGGAAACGATATGAAAAGAATCGTAAATCTATCATATAAAGGGAAAAATTGCTTGATGCTAACTGGCTGAGACAAAGGACAAATGATACTCATTGATTGAACGCGCTTAAACTGAAGCTGCAAATACTTCATTTGAGCACTAAGTGCGACACGCTTCAAATGTTTAATTCCACTGAGCCTGATCCTAATGCAGTGGTCGCATCAAATTCAATAAAATTTGGAATTGTGTCCATAGAAGCTCCCGAATTACGGCACTGCCGAGAACCAATCAGCTTGCAAGGATCATCAATGATTTCAAAATGGTTGCAACAAAAAACCGAGCATTACATATTCGCTTAAGTTGATGGTAGATGTACTTCACTCGTTCACTTCTCAAACTTGTGAGCCATGTTGCGCAACAACCGAAAATAAAATTCGCATAAAGGGCGGCTACTCAATTTCTTCTTTACAATATTCATACCTGGTCAAAATCGAAAGGCGCTCTTCGTGATAAATACTCTGCGTACTGGAATTAGAGAAAGAAGAAAAAACGAAAATTATCTTTTACTAACAGTTTATCTTGAATTAACATAGCTCGGAGATACGAAGTTTCTTACTAAGTTTCATTAGATTCAGTCCAACATTCTAAATTCGGCTTGAACCGGAATCAGTGGACAAAAGGAATCAGTGGACAAAAGGAACCACCTCGTGGAATGTCCACCGCTAAATCCCATTTCAATTTCTTCATTTTATCTTCTAAGCATCGTTGTCATCCAGGAAATTTACCCCTTATGTACCGATTACTATAGCGGAGTTTTAGTCGTCTTCGAGCTTTCGTTCGGGCAAATTTGTTACCTTTTTGTTTGGAATTTAAAAAATTTTCGGAGTATTTATTTTGGCCAAATGTTGTGGTTCATTTAACAAGTTTAACACATATTTTCTACCGAGTTTGGACTCGACTCTTTTTTCGTAAACGGATTTTTCACACCCTTGATGAAGTGAGGCAAACGAACACAATGTTCGAAACAAAGGGAAAAAGGAAGAAGAGGTGGGAAATTATCGAAAAAATGCACACAATAGACGTGATTGATAAGTGTCGTATACCAAAAGGAGATTTGGCACGAGCGTGGGACAAAGAAAAAAATTCTGAGTCCCCATGAGGACTTCTCTATTTCTTTACCGAACTCAAAACTTACCATCTCCCTTATTTCTATCTACAAACATTACGCTATCGACAATGCTGATCCTAGCAGTATGCAGGACGCGTGTCATATGAACTTCGTAATAAAACTCGCTGACCGTGGAGTCTGTGGCTCAGTGGTAGAGCACCGGAGCGTGGAATCCGAAGGTCTGAGGTTCGATTCCTCGTGGAGACTCAGAATTTTTTCCTTGTCCCACGCTCGTGACAAGACGAAAAAACATCTTTTTTTATTTCTTTACCAAGCTCAAAACTTACCATCTCCCTTATTTCTATCTACAAGATGAGATCGGTTTGAGACATTATGTAGTAAAACCATCGAATTTGGCAGAAACAACAAAAGGAGGTTCTTGCGAGTCAGTGTAAAGAACACGAAAACTTGAATTATACCTTGCAGGCGAATACTCCACAGTCACATCCGTTAAGTTGCTCTGGTATATCCTGTAAACCACAGAAAAAAAATTGACGATATCAATTCTATCTTTAAAAAAAACGAGAAAAGGATATCTTTTTTGGAGGTTAACCCTTTCATCACAGGGAAATAGTCGCGTTATTGCGAATTTCCTTGGGTCAGCGAAAATGCTTCAAATTGACGAGACTTGCGATACCGGGCCAAAATTGAAGCGAGACACTGGTTGCAGTCAACTTCCGGAGACTAAGCCGACTTTAACGAACGACTTTAACAGGAGGTTTGCGTAGGATATCAAACGTTCGAGGTCTACAGTGGACTGCTTGTAGTCTGTTTTTTTTCGATCGCAAGCAAGAGTTTTGGGCGAGAAGATATTGGGAAAGTAAAACTTAGCACGTGATAGGGCTATCCCGACCCAGCTTCTTTCCAGTGCATGGGGCTGACAAAAAGCAGTACTGAACCAAACATTATTTACTTGGAAAGCGGAAATTACACTTAAAATGTAAGAAGTTTATCGGCCTACTATTTATAGGATAAACATTAATGCCGGACAAGTTCAAGGTTTGATAATTTGATCAGGGATTAAAAGAAACAAACTGACGAAGCATAATTTGATAGTAAAGCACCTTTGGAGAAACTGTCCTCCAGCCCGTCGAGTCAAACGGCACTTTCTTCTTGTCCAGTGATTCATTTTTCAAGTAGTCACTAAAAAAAAGAACACGCCTGACAATGAATTTCCACAAGATGGAAGTGGATATAGATGGAACACTACAACTTTTAGTTTTTTCTAATCATTATTATTTCTATCGGTTTAATCTCATTTTTCTCCATACTGGTGCGCGACGCAGTGGTCCAGCGGTTGGTAAAATGGACCTGGGTGGGGGGGGGGGGGGGGAGAGAAAGGGTGTGCTGTTTCTCACCTTAGTGCAGACAGGCATTGTGGATTGGAACCTTTGAGCGAGTCGTAATATGAGATACATTTCCTATTAAAATCGATCACCTGAAGAACGAAGAGAACAAACTATAAGAGAGCCGTCTATAACTTGACCTGAACTGACCATGTTGAGTCAAACAACCTGAATAAAGCTAAATAATCGTGCCTAAATATTCATATCATTACGTCCTCACGGCGTCGTATTCATTCTCATAGTTCTGCCGTTCAACCAAATGTAAATGTCCTGAAACACTCTCTTACATTTGAAAACGCAGCGCTGATACCACCGTTGTTTATCGTCGTAGTGCGGATGAAAAATGGCTTTACAAGATTTCCAGTGAGGACAAAATTATTTGCCAAGTGTGAACAGAGGCCAAAACGATCTTCGAGTGAATATCTAATTTTGTTCAATTGCATTATTTAATATGCCTTGTCGGAGGATCTGAATTGGCTAAAAAACGCAACATTAGTAACAAGAACGGGGATGAAAGGTTTTACAGTGAACTTTCTTACCGCGAGACACCAATGCATCCCTAGATGAATAGGAACAAGTACCACGTCCATCGCAAAAATATCCACCTACAACAACATCAAATACAAAATGAATGAAACCAAACACTTCAAACAATTGTTATTACCAAAGGGTGTAGAACTAAATAAACTATTAAAACAGTTGTTACAAATGCTCCAAAAGCACCCCTCCCCTTGGGGGGTCCTCATCGGTTTCCAAGGCTTGTAGACGCGCGGCTTGTGCACAATCGCGCCTGACTACTCACTAGGTATTTGTTATTAAATAAATACCAACAACAAAAGCAGCTTCAAAATATCAATCGACAATCTCTTGAAAACATTGATCAGGTTATCTTTTCGCAGCACAAGGGGCTAAATTGGACTAACTAAGGTGACCACAATTCGTGGAGAAGAAACACGCACAAAATCATATTCCTTACCTTTTTCGTCCACCGTTTAAGGCTGGCATATCCTGATTTGATCAGTTTCGGATAAAAGAATGAATTAAAGGCGTGCACTTTCACATTTCCTTGTTGGTTGCTTCTGTCCATGATCAGGTTGAAAAAGAAGTTGATTATCTGCAAGATAATTGACGTAAAAAAAACACACAAATCAAATGGTATTGTTATCTGAAAACGCCTCAGTCATCTCTTATGTCTTGATAACTTCCTGAGTAGGATCCCCTAGCTATCATGTTAGAGTAATTTTCAGTTGAGTTTCGAAACTAATCTGGGATTGATTTGGTTTTGTCTCACTTCGCGATGTGATTGGCCCAAAAAACTCGCGCCATCCCTTCAACCAATCATATTCAGACTAAAACCGTTCGCAACTTCTTCACTCGCGTTTTCCCGCATGCGAAGCAATTAGCTTCGTTTTACTTTCAGTTGTAATAGTCCTCTTTCGTGTCCATCCTCTCCCGTTACCACATAAAGTTCCTTGAAAGTTGGCCAGTACCCAATCACACTCCCAAGAGGGGAGGGGCAATGTGAGACGTGAATTGACTCCTTGACTTAAATGACGAAACACAGTGGCCCACGCTAGTTCTCCAATCCGCTTGTCCATTCCGGAGTTAGAATACAGTCTGTATGCCCGAGCTGTCTCCAGCCCATCTTCAAATGCCAATTTTAAATACCCTTCACCTCAGCTTACCTCATCATTGAGCCAGTTCAGATTACTGAGTGTTGCCACGTCACTTCTCTTCAGAGTCACTCGGAAGCCTTCAACAAGAGGATCTTCAGAATACCCAGGGGCTAGTGCTGCATCAACCTAAAGAAGGATTTTGAATGAAGAAACCTTCCTCTAAACAAAAACCTGGTAACTAATACAGAGGGCTAGGTCAACGCTTTGTAAGTCGCTACAGCGTAACCGACAGGATGATTTCTTTGAACGTTCCTACGGCAAAAATAACTTGAAAGAACTCTGCCAATTGTATCTCAACTTAATTCAAAAGCAATCCGTTCTTATTCTTTCCAGTTTTACCCGCCTTTGTTCGTGATTGGCTTATCTATGTTTTGTTGATTGTGTTATCTGATCGTCCGCGAGAGAGTGTTCTTGTCTTGGTGACAACAACTGACGTTTCGAAAACGTGAGCGTTGACTCGTTTGAAGGGAGCAAAGCCAAAGAAACAGAAACAAAACTCGTCAATATAAAAATACTCAAACCACATGTAATCCAAGCCGTGTGAGAAGTGAAGGCTTTTGCTTCCACCCCGCCACCCTTGCTCCTAAGTAAGGATGAAAGTAAGAAAGTAAGTCAAAGCATTTTGAACTCACCATTCTCTCCATTTCATCCGTGAGCGGCACAAACGAGTCTGTTATTTCTTCTACTTCTTCCTCTGCCTGGTAAAGAACATATGCGATCTCATAAACTTTTTAGCACGAATTTACATTTAACCATTAAGGTATTCCAAGTAAGTAACTAAAGCGTTTGATGTCACTTAAACTATTTGTAACGTGAGCGCATATGAAAAGATCACGTGCATGTGTGAACACGAACGAGTCCCTCTCAGTTGAAAGAACACTTGGCTGGATATCGCTTAGAATTTCGAGATAACGATTCTTGCAGTTGGAAAAGGATGCTTGGTGTACAATGCACAACTTCACAGATTATATATAACCGAAGGAGCAAACGCAGGGGAAGCCCGAAGAGAACACAATCACACCGGTGAAATGCACGTCTCAGGATTAAAAGATCGTCTGGGTTTTTCAGGCTTCTGACTAGATAATTTCAAAATGGATAATTCCATTGAAACGTTTTTAAAGCGCTGTAAAGTTGGAGTGAGAGAGCAGACAAAAAATATTAACTCCCACTTTCCCAGAGGACTTTTTCTGTCATGAGCAGTTTGCTCTTACCTTGCTCATTCTCATTTCGTGGGCTGTTTTCTCGTAAATCATGCACCCACGAAATTAAAGCGTCGATGCTGTGTAAACAACTTAAAGATAGCACTGATTTAAAATACCTCTTCTTCCTCATCTTCGTCTAGTCCTAAGTTCCTTCTTCTCAGTCGTTCCTTTATCTAAAATCAAAGACAAGCAAGTATGAATATCAAATAATATAAGACATTAAATTTCAGCCATATTCGTACATGTAAATTATCCACCAAATAATATACTTGGAAATCATTTTGTTTAATCGTTTCCTCGACTAGGCGGACAAAAAACCCCCTTCATTTCACGTTTATGACTTGAAAATAACATTAAAACCCACATATTTTTTGCACATGTAAAGCTTGTACCGGCAGCCCGGTTTACGAGACAACAACATACTGGTATACACAGAAGCTCTATAATAAAAGTACTAAAAAAAAATATCCTTCCTAAGGGAATCCCTACGATAGAGAAGGCAATTTTCCATCCCGTAACCCTGATAATCACGTGCATGCATCACTATTACAAGAAAAAGACGTCTACATTGGTCCTAGCACTTCGTTACTTAGGAAGTTTCAATGCACAAGGAATCCTGGTAGACTACATTACACTGTCATTTTTTATTGTGTGAAACAAAGGAGGCGAGATCTCAACAAATACAAGACCAGTCAGTCTATGATAATCGATAATAAATTGTAGATTTCTACAGTGCATAAAACTGTACCTTGTCTTTAATAGCTTGCGTTTCTTCTTCTCGCTGAAAGAGGGAAGTAATGGAAATGCCATCAGTATCACCGTTATTGTCGTACTTATTATAGTTACATGAATGTGAACCGTAGGACAACATGAAAGTTTTTCCTCTCGATAAAACTGTCGATCCCTAATTCAAATCAGAGCCTAAGAAAAAACGAACATCTAAGACATCATTAATTATTCATAAAGCGATTTCGACGACTCGCCGTCGCTACCTCGCTTTGAAGAGCCATAAATTAGAGAAGAATTGTCCAAAATTGGCCCACTATACTTCTTAAAATTTACTATTTTGAGGTTAAAAATGCTCGCTTCTAAATCAACGCACGGCTTTTTGAAGATTAATGATGTATCTACAATTTGCACCCCAAACACAACAGTAACCGGTCGTTTCGCCAACGGTAGTTTCGCAAACGTCTCTGGTCAGTTCGCAAACGTGTAGAAGTCAGTTCGCAAACGTTATAAACATTTACATGTCAACCTGGGTTTAACTATACAGTTCAGAATACTACATTACTGACACGTATGCATAAATTATTGGATGTGAAATCTCACAGCTTATTTCTCGCTAAAGTGTAATTCATTATCAAATGGGCAGTTTTTATCCCGTGTCTTGGTAGTTGTGGACCTTCCTTTAAAGAGCAAAGCTTCTTGATCGAACACAACAACAGTAAGACCTGTTTCATATCGGTAGATTGATTTGCGGATTACAGCTACTGTACATGCAACACGCAAATGCTGTGATAGAGCGAAATCAACCACAAGACTGTATGACTTAAGCTATAAAGTTAGTTAATGTATGCTCAAACGTTGACATCTCAAATCTACAGAGTGTGTGAACTGACTTCTACACATCATAAATGTTTATAACGTTTGCGAACTGACTTCTACACGTTTGCGAACTGACTAGAGACGTTTGCGAAACGACCGTTGGCGAAACGACCGACATTCACTATTAAAGAGCAACTCTGCAAAACTGTTACCTTTTGCTTTATTGCTTTCAGTTTCTTTTCTTCTTTTGAAATCTCCCTTTGTCGGGCTAAACTATCCTCTGATAGGAGATTTCGCCTGTAAACCGAAAAAATAAACGAATGACAAAGTACTGAGTACTCTCGTTCTACGCGCACGCAGAAGTCCATTTGTCCTTCTTAGACAGCAGTCATGGGAAGATTTGTAGTATTTCTCTTCATAAAGATAAGGATCCTGTTTCTAAGAAGAGTACCCTGTATATGTGGGCAAAGATAATTTTTCGCTCGCGTTAACACTGAATTGCCCCCTGTAGTAAGTACTCTAAGTATTGCAAGTATGTTTGTAGTGCAATATCTTAAAAGTACGAATCAAAGCGGGCCAAAAATTTACATTCACAGAAACAGAGGGTACAAAAGTGAGGACCATAAAAATTGGCGGGTTCTCTGATGGTATCGAATTGTGTTCCTTTTCTTATCACTTCAGAAAAAAAAAGGCCATTGATAAGCAATAACAAGTGAAAACAGAAGTAGGATTAAGTCTTTACTAACACATACCATCTTGTGGTCCAGTCCTCATCAAAAGGATTGCGAATATCAGACGTGTCCAGTGTTCTGTTGCTTAAAATAAAAAGAAGGAACGAAATGAGTGTAAAATTTACAAAATTAGAGACCAAGGAGACTCAAAGGTAGGTTCTAAGAAGTAGGTAGCCTGTTTTGGGCGTTCAGTAAAAAAACGGAGCGAAATATCAAAACGGCACGATGGTAGCGGCACAGCGAAAACGAGGTAGGTTCGGCTCGACTCGACCCAAGTCTCTCTCAATGTTTTCGCTCCTCCGCTACTATCGCACTGTTTACCAACGCGCTTCGGTGTCATCAACGGAACACCTTGAATAGGCTTAGAAGTAGGAAAAAATGCAGCTGTGATCATTAATCCTTTCAACTCTCAACATCCAAATTGTAATTCTCCCTACTATCTGCCATTAGTTTTCCTGTACATGAGACTAAAGTATTAGGTCCTATATCAAGATAACGTTCCCAAGCTGATAAATTCTTCCAATATCATCACCTGTGTCTGAGACGATGTAAAGTTTTCTGTTTATAACTAAGGAGGGCCAAAGGGTTATCAACACAACTACACAAGTAGTGAACACACAGTGCATTACATACAATTCTGCAAAGCATGAAGTATAATGTTCAATTTACCTAGATCTGGTGATACTGTTTGGAGGCGATATGTTGGTTGTACCTGTAAACCACAAATACAGTTCAAACTGTAACATGGAGCTAAATAAACCTACCTCCTACTTTTAAAAAAACTGTTATACAAGTTTTCAGTTAAAAGAAAATTTAAGTCTACTTTAAGGACGTGAAGTTCAGATGGTGGAGTGAGACTCTCCAACCACTTGATTATGAACTCGTTAGAAACCTACTGTGTACTAGGGGTTCATACACTCCTGTACTGTGTCAACCAGTTGTGTCAGAAAGAGTCTACAAGTACATGTGTCACATGCAGCCAGGTTGCACAGACAGAGGCACAATTTTCAAAAGAATCTTTGTATAATGTTTAAATTCTATACCTTGCAAGTTTTCTCTATATCACTGGGAGAGTTACTGCGAGAAACATCACTTACAAAAGTTTCAGCTTTGCAAAATACTTTTAGACCTCATTCTGTCAAATATTTCACCCCAGCACATCTAAACTTTGAAAAGAACTCTACACTAAATTAATACAAACCTGGTCTTGAATACAAGCTAACATCTGTTGTGACCTTACGTGACCTGTTGGCTGATCTCCTTGGAGATGCTGTTACTTTCAACCTTGTTGCTGACAGGGGAGGGGAGGCTGGAATAGTGAATGACACGGGGGGTGACACTAAGGTAGATCTTGGTGACAGTAGGCTTCCACTTCCAGACCTGAGTGGTAGAGCCATACAACATTATTCAATAAAAAAAATACAAATGATAGAGTGATTTTGTTTTACTGGTTTTTCTGACATCTCAGTGCTACAATTGAGGTATAGTATATGCCAGTGATAACATGAAGAAAGCAATTTAAATGCCAATGTATGCAGAAGATGTTATTGTATCATGATACACAGTTATTCATTTAAGTGGAGGTGAATAGTGGTGGATATTTAACCTTAGAACTCCCATGAGTGACCAAGACAGAATTTCTCCTCACAAATCAATACAATATTAACCAGATAAGTGACGAGAATAAAGAAGAATATCAATTTGGAGATAATTAGTGGATCCAATACTAAATTCTCTGAACTAGCATTATAAGAATTGTATTGTTGACAGTAAGGAGAATAACAATTTGATCTGGAAGTTGAAGGATTAAACTAAGCTGTGAAGTTGCAAGGTGAATATCCTGAATTTTCACCAACTCTAAGTATAATTATACCACACTAAAACCAAAATTAGTTCAACTCTGTCAATATAATGCAAAATGGTCAGAGATGAAACTCTTGACAAGATTTTGTCTCTTTGGCTGCTTGGAAACAAAAACCTTATTTGATGGCTGAAAACATAATTTTTATAATAGTTGGGGATATTTTGCAAGTTGTGTTGCATTTTTCTGACCCTGTGGGGGTGAGGAAAATGCCAGCAACAAGAAAAAATGTCTCATAAGTTAAACCATTGGGTAGGAGATTTATTACTCTGCTAACTTTTAGCTTGTTTCTTCTAGTTTTCGAAATACATCCTATGGCCTCATCTGAGCTTCTTACTGATTGCATAGGGCATGCACCAAAGATGAAAACAATAGCATTAAAATAATTTAAGGGTTTCATAGCCAACAAAAAAAATTGTAAAAGTTTGTTTTTAAAAAAGCAAAGCCAAAAAACAGGGGAAAAATAACACAATTAAGATTGTTCCCAGAGGCCATTTTGTTACTCCATTTTCCTTCTGTATTTTTGCTCTGTTTTACTGTGTAATACCATGGCATATCTTGCATGATCCATTGCCCTAATATGGTAAAATGACAAAGTAGTGGAATAATAAAACTTGCTGACCAGTTCACTATCATTTGTACCTTGCGTAGGATCTTGTCTTGGTAAGAAAGTCAGTTTCCACATACAGTGGTTCATCTAATACTGTTCTGTTCCCTGTACGATCTGTTCTATCAGGTGTCTCTATGTTGGTAAACTGAGCCACTAACTGCCTGTATCTGTCTCGTTCTTCCAGGCGAACAACCTTGTATGACAGAAAAACAGGGATGCACTGTAAATAGACTGTATACAATGCACTAGGTAAATGTAAGGTATTTTGGTCGTTGTAACTCTTTACATTCTAACATCAGTATGCATAGTCTCCATAGTGTTTTCTTTACCTTCCTTAAGGTGCTGAGTGGGAGAATTTGCTTAACAATCAAGGGCTACTTTAGATGGTGATATCACAAGGAAAAATTAGATGCTAGTCACCCACAGTGGTAAAAATAAATCACAAGTCACAAGATACTGTACAAGTACTGTAGGTGAGGTAAAGTAACAAGGTGCATGTGAGAGGCTGAGATAGAAGCCTTTTAGTCTCTCTCAGATGCCAACAGAAATAGAGAAATACTCATAAGTAAATAATTAATTAATTTAAAGATAAATTTGTAATAAATGAATAATTACAATGTCCATGAATATCTTGTAAACAAATGGGTGGAAACATGTATTGTGTATTGATTAAAGAGATGGCAAGGAACAATGATAATGTACATGCAGCAATGATTTAACAGCTTAGTTCTGAAAAGGGCTGTTTTCCATTAGGGTTTATGCTCAATTTGTTACATGCTGAGTTCCCTACATTTAAGTTCACTACATGTCTGCTGCACAAATATGGAGTTTGCTAACATCAGCTGACCAAGTTTGCTACCAAACAAAAATAACAATTCAGAAGGAAAACTCTTTCAAGACTTTAGAACTACAAAGAATTTACAATGTATTGGTGCCTAGCCACTTCCACTTGGGCGAGAAATGTCCTCTCTCAGTAGACCTTTATTTAACCAACTCTTACTCTTGCTTTTGCATTCTAAACTTAGGTGTAAACTTACAAGAACAAATGAGATTTTACATGAATAATTCAGGTTAGAAACTTTAGGTTAAACTGGGTTTATTGATGAAGTGAACTCAAAGATGAATGGAGCTACATGTACAGTGTAGTGAACTTGAAAGTAGCAAACTTGAAATGCAGCAAAACTAACTTTTAATGGCAGTAAGAGTGACTGGGTGACCTGAGTGTGAGTCAAAACAGAGTCAACAGCTACTGGATATAACAATGATTTCCTCTCAGATTGTCAAATGTTAGCCACAGTCACCAGCACCTTTCAGTACATGTAACTCTTAACACAAACAGCCATGCTATACTTGTACACTGCACTTTGCCCCTCACAATTTCAAGTCTTACCCTTTCTGCTGTGCTTGTAAATCTCCCCCCTTCAACCGGAGATCTCTTTCCCACAGTCTCTTCTGTAGTCCTCCGTGATCTCGAGGGAGACTTACTTCCAGATTGAGAAGGTCCAGGCAAGTTGTACTCTAATGTTCTTTCACTTTTGTACTGGTTAGCATTGTAAGATCTACTGTTGGGAGTGTTTTTATATTTTGATGCTGGTGAGATAAATGCATTATAAGTTGTTACAATTAGATGAACAACACTGAACAGATGAGAAAAAAATTGGATACAGTTAATTCAATTTGGATGCTCTTTTTGGTTAAAAATACACCATGCCAATAATACTGCGTTGCTCTTAAATTTAAAACTAAAATACTAATTTGTTTGTTTGTTTATTTTTTTTTCTTATTTTAACAATGATTTCTCAATTAACTGATCCTGCTCTCTCTCAATACATCTTCACTGCAACATAGCAGACAGTTCAAATAAATGGTACTTAATTGGACTCAATGTTTCGATTGAAGAAAAATGATTGATATGGCATTCATGTATTTTAGCCAATAATAACACTGGACAGAACAAGAAAAACAATTTTCATCATAGTTCATGTGAAATAGTTCTTATTCTTGCACAGAAAGAACTTACAATCATATTTTCTTTCAGATGTTCTTGTCATGCTCAAGTTTTGCTTTGTGGATGTTGTTAATCCCATCTTGTTTTTTCTTGGGTGAGACTGTACAGGTGATGATGTTTCTGATCTCCTGCTTCTATGCAAGGGTTTCCTTGTCAATCTAGAACTCCCTTGTTGTCCCAAGTTGTCTGTGCAAATGCTCTGCAATAAGGAAAGCACCAGTTTTAATGGCTTAACCCTCTACACCTTAATGTAAGTGTGTATATTCTCCACACTATTTTTTATAAATTTCTTGTGATGCTGACAAAGAGCTTCTCTAGTCAGTGATCATTTCCTTTATTCCCATGACCTCAATTTGTGATTCAGAGGGTGATATTGTAAGGAGAAACTAGCTGCTAGTTACTCTGAGGAGTCAAAAGGGTTAAATGAGAACAAGAGAAACCTTCCTAATGGAAACAGAACCATATAAAAGTCTCAAGTCATGAAAAAGCTCTTTGATATTCTAAGGCATCCTGGCATATACCAAATCCTGACTAAAGGAGCCCGAGTTGGTAATTGCAGTAGGTGCCTACTAAAGTCTGGAGGTTTTTATCATCAGTTATTTATGATTGTAATAAATCTAAAACATTACTGCTCAAGATAATAACACACTAGTTTTAATGTTGTCTCCTTCCTCTTTGGTCAATGACCTTATCCCTTAACCATAAGAAAACACATACTGTATGAACCTAGTTTTTTGTCATTTTAACTTGAAATTGTTTCACACCATAACATGCATGTGAAAAAAAGCAGTCTTGAGTCTGATACCATTACAAACATGTGAATGTACAATAGACAGTGACACAAAAGTTTGGGAGATTTTTTCACAAGAAACGGGGTTTGGCTTATAGCCTAGGGTTTGGAAGTCAAAAACAAGTACAAATTTAATGTTAATGCGAAATGACCGTAAATTCCGTGACTGCAGCGCTCTTTACGTGATAGGCTTTAAAATTGACATGGCAACAATGTATTTCTGACCACCAATCAGATTCTTTGCTTCCCATGCATTGAAAGACGATCTCACTCAACTCGGCAAAAACTCTTCTCATTTCACATTACAAATGAAATACTTGGCCTCTATGTTGTGAAAACCACTCCATTGCTGAGAGTATTGTTGTGTCTCTACAGTTGCGTAGTAGTATTTACATCTTCACTGATTCGCTTTTTTTTCTTTTTTGTTTATTCTCATTCATTAGCTTTTGTGTTCATTGAGCCATTTCCTAATTTTTTTCCCATGAGGTTTGCTCACTCAAATGGCCGGTTACAATTAGCTGTTGGTTTTGCGTTTTCTTTTGGACAACACAAGTCTGTTGGAAGGTCTCTAACTTTTAGGGTCTTGGCTCCTAGCCGAGGTCAGCTTATAAGTGAAGAAATACGGTAAGTACTTGTCTGCTGAGTCCCCTTATCTTTGAACTGCACTGTAATATCTTTTACTCACACTAATAGGTCTTGTATATGCAGAACTTGTCTGTTTTTCCATAATTTCATTCTCAGCCTCATTAAGGTCTCTGCTTAAAGAAGTGTTAGTGACATCTTGATTATCTCCTTTGACCACGTACTGCCAGATGTATCTACCAGACCAGGTTTTCACCTTCTGAACAAAATCCGAAAAACTATGAAGAGGGCTGTTGTCACTGTTTTCACCAGCAGCTGAATGGAAACAGATTCAAACAGTTATAATTATTTACACAGTTATTCTCAGCACAGCACACACAGTTACACTTTTACACTGCAGGGAGTACATTATCTTTCAGGGCAGAGGAAATGGAAGATGGTATATTCATTAAATAACAAAGACAAGTTTCCTTTTGCCTCTTCCTTTCCTGGGGGATCAAGGATAGTGTGGTTAAAAGAATACTCATCCCATTCCTACCACTAAGGTACAATTCTCTACTGGCATCAATTGTGGGTTGAATTTATTAACAGTTTTCATCCCTGCAGCATGCAGTTTTGTCCAGGTTTATTGGTTTTCCTACGTCCACAAGAGTAAATGTGCCAAATTCCAGCTTGGCCTTGCTCAACAAATATTTGCAAAACAATTTCTTAAACTCATCAGAATTACCCAGATGAACAAATTCCATACTACCATTAAATATCAGCATTTTATCCCACATTAAAAATGCTTAAACAATTCAATTTAACATTGTTACATCAACCACGCAGCTTCGGTACCAAACTGTAGCATCAATACCATCTCAGAGTTTGCTTCAAAACTGTATATCCCTTTATTATGTTCTCATATTCTTTGTTTTATCAACCATGTGGCTTCAGTATCAAAATGCAGCTTCAAAACTATATCAGAGTTTGCTATAAAACTGTTTATCACTTTATCATATTCTTTTAAAATACATGCAGCTGCTTATGCACTCACCTCCTTCTAAATTTCTTAACCTCTTAGCTGGTGGTGTCTAATGTCAAAAACGAAAAAAGCATTCAGCAATTAGGTCTTTGTTAAACTAAGCCTTTTACAATGCTCTGGTCAACATCTTGCAATAAAAGAAATAACTGCACATTTATTGTTATAATAAAGGAAAGACACTTATCCATGCACTCTAAACCTTAACACGATTAAATTTCCATCTTTACACGAATTTCCTCTTCAAAATTCCACTCTTTCGTAAAGTTAGATACTGCCTTTGTAATAATAAAATTATGTGACCACCATATGACACCTCAAAATTTCAACCTCCCCTTTCAAAATTCATGCTATGTTTACTTTTTCTTCCTTGCTGTTTAAAATTGGAGAAAAACTTAAGTATACAGGACCACCAAGATCCACCTAATGCAAAGTCTTTACAGGACCAAGAAACGCAAAATAAGAACTGCAGTGTACAGTGACTCAATTAGATGTAAACAAGAGACCCCACATTCTAAAGTCTTGCCAGAATTATGAGTTATAGATGTACTAACCTGAAGTACATCTGTTATAATTACATCCTCGTCTTCCCTATAAGAACAAAATGCATATCGATGAATTCTAAAAGAGTCGAAATCTATACGCAGTAAACATGGATGACAACTTGTAAGTTATTGTAATACATCACTGTATAAGTACGAACGAAACTAAGTGTTTCGGATGACAAAAGTTGGTTGCCATTCCCTCGACGAAAGACTTGGTATTTGTTCAAATAACGTACCGGAAAAAGATAAGTCAGCCTCCTATAATTCAGATATTTTGGGATGAATTGCAAATAAAGCTGCCCTGTTATGCCCAATATCACATCAACTTTTATGAGGATCGCCATAATTTACACCTTTAAATCCCAACATAACTCTAAATCGTGCCCAGGAAAAGACACAGAACCAAACAGGATATATTAAAATACCTCTCTCTTCGGCGTTTGTCTCCTGCTTTCCTTCCAGAGAAAGAATATGAGCGAATATTTTCATAAAAAGACGATAAAGATGCCAACATGGTGGCTCTTACGAAATTACCGCCATCAGAAAACCACTGGTCAAATGCAGGCGAGTGTGACGTCACATTATGGAGGAAAACTCATTGCTCTCCGATTTTTCATCCCATTACATTTCTTCAAAGTTATTCGAGAATTCGGCGGTGTGCGACAGAGAGTCCTAAAAACTATGTGTTTGTAATTATCATGTTTTTGTTTTCAAGAAAAATACTTCGATTATCTTAAGAGGAGAATTAAGTGAAATCATTATGATGCCTAATTGTCTCTCGTGACGTCATAGATAGTGGGCTGTATTTCTACGGGGGACAATTATTTAATATGGGATAATTATCCTCGGCTCTGCGGGCTGAGACGCCCACAGGACAACCAAATTCAAGCCAGCTGGCTGACTAGCGGTTGTGCTTAAATCCTAACGAGTTTCCGAGTCGGCTGATTATCGGAAATTGTGATGAAATATGATTGAAAATATGATATTTTGGAAAAAAAATGTAGATTTTTTTAAGTGCTTAAAAATTTGTGTATCTTCATTAATGAATCAAGTCCTACTGAGTGCACTGTTTGTTATGAGTCCTTTGTTGAATATGCTTTAATGTTTAACCAAGTCAAATCCCTTTGAGTAACTCTCATTATTTAATCCATGTTTGCTGTCTGTTACTGTGAAAATATCAACTTATCATTTTTGATGCAGAACCTTGCCATTATTTTTATTGTTAGCTTGACTGTTGAAGGTGTGTCAAAGAACTTCATTGGTTAAGACAAAGGGAGTGATTTTGATAAGACATTGTTATAAACCAAAAACTGAGGGTTGCTACAACAGCCAACCAGAATAGAGGTAAACATTACATTCAATAACTTACAACTAAAATGATGTACATAGTAATTCCCAATAAGCATGGGAAAATCTCTTTAACAAACTTGTGATATTTTTTACCAATTTACCATCTTTTTCAATGGTCCTTGCTGCATTTACAAACTTGTAAAATGTTTTAGTTCTGAGAAGGTGGGGTGAGTTTGTCTTGTGCGATGTAAATTCAATTTTTCATCATTTATTTGAGACATGAATTTGAATTTGATCAGAGACACATCTAATACAACTTTATCGCTTCTCTAGTAGGTCACCAGTTACAAGTCTATCACTGAGCCAAAGGGGAACTTTTGGTTAGATAGGTCATACAGTGGGTCATATAATTAGACAAATATGTTATTGTATCATCTCAAGAAAATAAAAAGACAAATTCAAGTTCTTGATAAAGTTTCCAAATGACATAAATCACTAGTGCTCCTCAGGTGTACTTCTAGCCAGTAGGATTTAGGCACAACCCAGACTAGCTCCCCCTGTAAGTTTTCCTACTCAGCGATTGTTTTGCTGATGAAATGCTTCACGCTCGTCTTTTTGACGCAGGAGAAATCAAACTGGTATTTGGTCCTCAAAGTTAGCAATTAATTAAAAAAATACAATAATCCACCCAAGAAATTGCAAACTCATGTTGAACTTGAAGTGCAGCCCTTGAGATATATCAAACATAATCCTGAAAAGAATTGTTGAACTGAAGACCCTCCTGCGCAGAGGGGATTTGAGAAGGCAAATGCTGAGGAAATGTTCAGGTTGGGGTGCATATTGGAGCCAATCAACCCCCATGGAAGTGCCATTTGTAGTATGTCATTACTGTAAACTTATGACAACAAGCATTGGGTTTTTTGTTCGCCCACGAACAGTGACAACATTTTATCGGGTGAAGGTAAGTGTGTACAAAATGCTTCAGTCAGTGATTTTAATTCATAATGAGCATTAGAAAAAAAGGAACAAGCAAAAAAAAAAAAAAGATTAACAGAAGGAAAAATTGAAAAATCTTCATCAACAACAATGACATCAACAAAACAAAGAATGTTATTTATCTTATCTAGCAGTTGGGATTTTTTACACCTCCCCCCATTTCCTTCCATGACCCTCTCCTGTCACACTGAAAATGTAACTGGCAATAAATACCAAAAAAGATCATAAGACTCCAGCAATAAAAATGCGACTTTCTTAATTTTCTTCTTGTTTAAAGTCACATTGAAATCAGGTAAGAATAGCAATTCTTGTATTCACGGAAAACTCACCCAACTTACAGTTTTCAGACTAAGCATGTCAGCGATTGTTTGCAATTCGTTTGGGAAAGGGGGGGTCTTGACTCCATGTTTTACGTACTAGAAGCAGAGATGTCAACAAAGAGAGAGAAAAGAAGACATTTTTCATAGTGTACAATAATAGTTATATTTTTATCACTAAATACTTACAAGCCCTGTGACATACATTGAGGGAAGTATCCTGTGACTCCTTTAAGTAAAATTAGTGATAACTTATTGACCAATCAGAGCGTGCAAAATATCACAGTTATTTCATAGCTTGTTCCTATCTCCTAGTGTGGTTACTATGATACTGGAGCTACTTTCAATTATATCAGTAAATATGCTGTGCGTAAAACAACAGTATAAATGTTCCAATATTTGTGAGCTTCCTAACAATTCGAATTTGTATTTTATCATCTAGGGATATAAGTCTTGTTCAAAAGACACTGAATAATATAAGATATAATATATCGATATAATAAACTTATCATAAACCTTTAAGATATACTTTTTTCTCTTCGAGGTGAATACGTTACGTCTTTGAAGTACGATGGCCCTCCATGATTATAATGATGTTATTTTTCATAAAACCGGGATAAAAATGTCAATTTCAAAAATGACTAAAATGATAAATTTATTTTACAAATCTATTCTCTATTTTCCCAATATAATTGTATTGGGATTCCTCCGAATCGGCTGTCAGAAATAAGTTGACTGATTCATTTGAACGGAGCTTAGCTCCAACGCTAGTTATGGATAGTCCTGTAACATTACGAATTATATTATTACTTTCGAACAATAGCCTGGCATCCCACGATTTGTGCCGTTTTTCCAAGGGAGCTGTTGGCCGACTAGAGTAGACGAGACACAGCTGTTATGTGAACTTCCAAATCGGTTGTCATTATGGTGGATAAATGTTTTGTACACACATTTATATGCATGCTTTACCCAAAGTAACAATATGGAATGTCAAGCAAATCACGACGATTGGTAAACGTCGGTTGAAATTTAAACTTACATTTGCCTCAAGGATTTTGCAAGTAGTAGTCAACAGTTAGCACCGGCATATTGCGTAGGACCTCTACTTAGTTAAATATGTGAAGGATGTATTAAGTTCCGAATAAAACTAGGCACAATTGCCGAAGGGATTCCTTCCTGTAGAGGTAAAAAAAAAGGTATAATTTGTTCCCGGCCTGCGAGGAAAAGATTACACGTGTACAAGACTTAAAAAGCACCCGCACAGGCATTGTTCTACATTTAAAATGCTTTGTTTTTACCACGTTTTCGTTTATATAGCCGCTGTGGTTTGCGTTGCATTGCTGACTTTTCCGGCGTAATTCGCGCCAGTAAGATATTATGGCTGTTTCAAGCCTTGAGTCTTTGAATTGAGTCATTGTGTCAATGAACCTTCAGACACAGGTAAGAATTTCCTACAAAACTGTAGATAACACATTTAGGAATGAAATATACAGGTTAAGCAACTCTAGCTCTTCTAAAACACGGATTAAAATATTTCCGCCAACAATAAAAATTTTTTTTTCCTTACGAGTATTTCAGTGTTTACACAGCGCCGGAGTTTATACTTCAAACATTGCCTTTAGACAAGTCAGCCTCACAGCACAATAACTCGGTGATTGTCACTGTCGGCAACAACGATGTATCCACCTGGAGAAACAGCCACGCCCTTGGGGTAGCATTTCTGGGCGAGGCCATTGAGTCCAGAGGCAAGAGTTGCCTTCAAACTCCCATCCTCGTTAAAAACTTGAACCCGATGATTGTATTGATCAGATACAATCACGTGATTGTCCATGTCGAAGGCAATCCCCGTTGGATACTTAAGCATTGATTGGCTATTTTCCTCCGCACCAATCGCCCTCACAAAGTTCCCGTTTGAGTCAAACACTTTGACAGCGTGGTTGTTGCTGTCTGTAATGAATATTTGTCCGTTAGCGTCCATGATAGCGTGATAAGGGTGATCAAGCTGTCCCTGCGCGTGTCCATGGCAACCAAGTACGCGCAAAAGGCTGCCGTCCTCCTTAAAAATTTGAACTCTGCTATTCCGCCGGTCAGTGACGATGATTTCGTCCTCGTTGCCCAAGGAAACTCCCCACGGACGTTTAAACTTGCCTTGTGTCTCCCCATAACCACCAAACTTGTTGATAAAGACACCGTCCTTCGTGAATCTCTGTACGCGGTGATTGTCCTTATCACAGACAATAATGTTTCCATGTCTGTCGACAGCCACGTCTGTAGGATGATTCAGTTGTCCGTTTTTATCTCCCTGGTTTCCGAAACTCTTAAGGAACTTTCCTTGAGGATCGAAAATCTGCACACGATTATTATGGCAATCGGCCACGAGGATTTTCCCTTCGCTATCGACTGCCACGCCGCAAGGAAGCTTGAACTTTCCTTTAACTTCCCCCAAGCCTCCGATGCATAAAGTTGGACGCGTTACGTTGCTGTAAATGCGGGGATTGGTAACCATAACTTTAAATGGGCTGCCTTTGATGGGTTGATGATGGATTGCGATTCCAACTTCGTGCTCGCCGTTAAGACTCGGAGTAAAGCCGACTGCATAGCTCCCGTCGCCTCTGTCGACGATTTCCGACCTAACAGTTGCCTTATTTGGACTTCGAACATCGATCGTTACGAGATCTCCGCCGCACGTTTTCGGCTGGTTGTCGAAACCTTTCGCTTTCACTACAAATTCTGCTGGTGTGCCGACGTGAGCCTTTGATAGTCCGTCACCATTTGCTGTCGATAAATCTGAGCATGTATCGGAAACGAGCACATGACCGAGAGCTTTCCGAGTGGTTTCGACGGAGTTTTCGTCGTGAAAGAAGTATATGTTCCTGTAATTCTTCGTATTGTAGTCTCTTCTGGTGTTTGAAATCTCATTCAGCCGT